TAAAGCCACTTACTTATTAATCTACAACAGACACTGAACTGGAGAGCACAGCTCTTTGGGGGCACAAGCTACTCTTGTCATTATATAATTTCCTTAAAAATTCTCAGACCTGCCAAGAACTTTGTAGGATAGAAAATGCTTTTTTGAGATAGCTGACTGCCTGCTTCCTAGATTAGATACCTGAATCAAAACAGTATTCACAGATTTATAACATCTTTTATATCAATGGTTGAATATTTGAATGCTGATTCTTCTTCATGAGAGTTAACTTTATTCTCTGTATTCCAAAAGCATGATATAGGTAATAGGTAACAGTCAAATATATAAAACAAGCAAATCAGAGTGTACTTGTAAATTAACTTAAAGAGTAGGTGATTCCTTGCAAAATTCCTTTACGTTTAGTACATATAAATTAAATAAATGTATACATGTTAAGCAATGTATACTATATAAATCATATATATATATATATATATAACCTATAACATATAACAAAATATCAATTATAAAAATTTAACACAACTTACTTTCAAATATCTCTGCTAACTAGAATCAGGCTAACAGTGTGACAAAATATAAAAATATAACAAGATAAAAAGATGTGTTTTTAACAAAAATAACTCATTTAATCTCATTTACATATTAATCTGTTTTACAGCTTTCATTCACAAAAATAAAAATTATTGGCTTATTTCATCTCTAATATATTAAAAAATCAGTATGTATTCAATAGGTGCTCTTTTCTCAAAATAATCCTATGTAATTAACAGCATTATGTATCATGCCAATAAGAAAGTCATATAGCTCCAATATAAATCTACCTGCCTCCCTTCCAACATATACCCTTTCGCTTTTCAGGACGATGCCCAACCAACATAACCACACCAGTCAGGGTATAGCCTTTTAGAAGAAAAAAAACTAAACAAAAAATTATTAATTTTTATCAGGCATTTCACATATTTTAGAATAACAGGAGCACCCCCAAATCATTAGGCTGTGGGTTTGCTATCTATTATCAAAATATCTGTAAGAAAATACTGATACAAAATAAATAAAATAAAATACTGATACATATTTAAAATCCTTACTGTACTGTTTTCATACTTAAGATGTAACTACGTATATCTCACAAGTGCATAATGTGGGTGATGTAGCTGTTCAATGCACCTTATTGGACTAACAGTCTCATTTCAAGTTTTTTACAAGTAATTAAAAATCAACTAAAGAAGAACCTTTGCATAACATAGATTGGTAAATAAGGGCATCAAGACAGTTATATAAATTGATTCCAAAAGTTTTTTAAAAATAATGACAACATAAAACTTCCCAGTTTATACAATTAAAGAGAGTAAGATTTTTTAAATCCCTTAGCCAGTTCTCCCATTTTAAGTTGTTCTGGAAATTGAATAATAATGTTATAATTCAAGAAAAACACATTAATTAATTACTTATAGTGATCATACACTGATCTGTGAAATCATGTTTTAAAATTATTTTTAAAGGCATGTTTTTGGAATTCTTACCATGAGCTGTGTAGTTTGTACAGTTAACTGGTTCTTGTGTAGCATCATTTATTTTGGGATCTTTACAAATATATTTAAGAAAAGTTAAGGAAACATGAACTCTATTGCAACACAAAACATAGCATCTGTTTAATACCTCCTATACACTCACATTTATACTCACATGTAAAGAGAGGCTGTTAACTTATCCAGGTCAAAAAAACACAAGCACAAACTATCAACGTCACTAAATAATACCTGAACCTTAATTTATTACAGGAAGTGTATTAACTCTAGCAAAGAATGCCATCCTTAAAGAACATCAGTGAGAGTTTAAGCACAATGGAAAAATGAAAATAAAAAATGTTTACCAAATTATCGTAAGAGAGCTTTAGGGTTAAAAAAATCAGTTTTGAGATTTCACTAAATTCTTGGGGCCCCGAGGATTGCCATATACATAATTTCATGTAATATGAATAACCCTGTGAGTTAGATACTATTATGCCCACATTACAGAAGCACAAACTGAGGCTCAAAAGTTTGAGTGACTTATCCAAAGTGATATAAGTGATAGGTTGTAAAGCCCATCAGACTGCAGGGAAGATGGTGTTTTAGGTGGGTCTACATAGTCTCTTCCCAACAGGGTTTTAAGCTTGTGGAAACACATGTAATAATTATCTTCTTATAGATGTTCAAACACTTGAGTGTTTTTCTGCTTCCTAAATATTTTATTGACACTATAATGAGATAAGTAAGGTATTTACAGATGTCTGTGAAGATAGAGTCCAGCACCTGTGTAAGATGTAACAGCTATTTTCCAGTTATCATGACCTCAGAGTCCTACATGCTCAGCCACTGCTCTTTAGGATTCACACTGCCCACTGTCTTGGAGAGAACCAACAAGAAAAATCAACGGACTAGATGAACTTAAAATCCAACTCCAAGCAAAATGGTACTCAACAAGTTAGAGCTATTCTGGAAAACAAAAAAAAAAATAACCACTGTCTTTCAATTTACATAAAAATACTATAGGATTTTCTTAATTTTAAGATTTTTTCCCTCACAGAATCTTGCCTGTATCTCTGGCTTCCATTATTAACTTTTCTGTTATACAATTTGTGTAAAACTATCTAATTTAGTACAAAGTCGTGTATTTTAATTTGAATGCAACTGCATTTCATATTGTCCCTCAGTCTATCAGAACTGTTCAAATGAATAGATCCGCTCAAACCCTTTAGCCTTAGTTTTCTCTTCCGCAAACAGTTAACACATGTAGTATCTACTCTGCGTTAGGCATTACCCTAAGTGATTCACCTGCAGTACTAATTTATCGCAACAGACCTTTAAGTTGGTTCCAGTGTTCTCTGTATTTTTAATCATGGCAAAACCAAGCTCAAATAATTTGCCCATCATTACAAAATGGAACAGGAATTTGCCCCGACGGTCTGGCATCTCACGGAATTTGAAAATGATATACAGTAATACATGTAAAGTTAATGATAAATGGACAACCTACACTGGCTTTACCACTATCAGTTACTACAAGTCAGCAAACTTCCAGGGTAGAGCTGTCAATGTTTTTGTTACTAGTGCTAGATCAGGACCTTGCATACTTCAGGATCTACGTGTTTGGTGAACAAATAAACCCCCAGTTAAAACAAAAAGAAAAAAAGTAGAGCAGAAGAGGAAGCGCAAACCATCGTGAAATCCCAAGGAAATTCCAAAGGGTGGCCTGTATGTAACATCCCTAATCTCTCCTCACCTCCCAGGGTCCCTTGGTCATTAGAGGCCACAGGTCACCGTTTCTTTCAATGCAACCCTAGCCCGCATAGAAGGCCACGACCCACTCGCAACCCGAAATCTACCTCGCCCCGAGGGCAAGAGCCTCACAGAGGATATTGTCCCACTTTGAGGTCCTCGCACTTAAACGTCTCCTCGCCCCCGGCGGCGGCAGCTCCCCAGGGTCCCGTGGTGACTGACACGAACCACAGGAAACCCAGAAGCTGGACAACAACTGTTTCAGGAGACGCCTGACTTAAAGGCCAGGCAGCCGCCATGCTGGGGACCCGCGCGTCCCCAACACTTTCCGGTTCCGCCTTCGCCGTGCGCCGGTGGGAGAGGGGCGGAGGGAGGCAGGCTCTTAAAGGGACCTTGCAACCGCTGCGCGCAGGTTGTAGATCCTGACAGCCAGCTCAATCAGCTAGGGGATCCTTGGCCGGTTTTACAGACCGGAAAAAGAAGACTTTCTTCAAGAATCAGCTGCCTTCCATCCATCCCAATGTTCACTCCCGAGCCAGCTCTGCTGTGACTTTTCTGTCTGCAAAAGTGCCAGCGGCACCCGGCGATTTTATAAAGGCTTTACAAACATTATCTCCGTTAGTCGTGGCACGATTTCGGTTTGTAGAAAACGAACCTGGCTCAAAGACGCCTAATAAGTATGTTGACCTTATTACTGAGTTGGAGTAACAAAGGTGTTTGTCCGATTTCAGAATCTGTGCTCTTAGTGTTGTAATATAATGGTCCCCCTGTTATCCTGGAGAATTTATGGAAGGCTTCTGAGAACCGTACCTAAGGACTCTAGCACAAAGATGGGCATTACATCTTTCTGTTTCACGGTGAAAGTTTAGGTAAGGGAAAGGGCCTGTAACAGGAGACCAGAGTTTAAGACTACACTAAGTGAAAACTTGGAGAATTTTTTTAAATTTATTTATTTTAGAAAGATTTTGTCTTAATTCTAAAGGCTATATTAGATAACCACAGTATTTTTTATAAAGCTGTTTTATCATTGCTTTAATTTATGATGTTTACATGTTACTTTCGAACAACTACCCAGCAGTTCCATTGAAATCACATTTTCAACAACATGGCTCTGTCCATGTACTCTTAGAGCAGATTCTTCAGAAGAAAAGTAGGATTATTATGCCTCTAGAGATCCATAAAAGATTAGAACCGGATTACAGTAGTTTTCTTAAATAAATGTGCATAATTGGTAACAGGGATGTTTAGGTATCACTGTTTTGTCTAAGCTAGTGGTTCCAAAAGCTAAGTGAGCATGTGATTCACCAGGATGCATTAAAAATGTAGATTCTTGGGCCTCATCTCTAGACATTCTGACCTGTAATTCAGGATAGGTTAACCACTTTTTAAATATAATTCCTTTTTGTACAGATGAGTTATTGGTTATGCAGACATACTCAACGGTTTGAAGATAGGCATTGATCTTTGGCTTTTCACTTGAATGGGCTGTAATTAGACAAAGTGAAAGCAGAAAAGTTGGAGATTTCCCCCCACTTCCATCTCTTGTTTCTAAATTTTTATATTAAAAGTTCTGTAGTAAAGATATTTTTTATACTGAACAAGTGTGTAGGTCTTAAGGGAAAGTTTAATCCTTTTTCCCTGAAGTATAAGTATTTGAATTTGAATGGAGCCTCTTCATCCGCAGCAGCACCAATTTTGAAGAATTGTATTATGCAGTAATTCTCAAACTTTAGGGTGCATCAGAATCACCTGGAGGATTTTTAAAACTCAGAAGGATGGGCCCTACCGGCAGAGTTTCTGAATCTGAAGATCTAGGGTGGAGCAAGGTAATTTACACTTTGAATTAAAATGACACTGATATTGCCAGTTTAGAGGCCACACTTTGAGAACCCTGGTATCATTTGCAATAGGAGGACATAAAATTATTTCAGTAATATATCAGAATTGTAACTATATTTAACATTTTCTTAAACCAATTTTGCAGCGTTTCTATGCTATTTTTTAAAATCTCCATTGGCCCTGCATCCTCCAGGCAAATACCACCCATAACAACCCTTCTTTTCTCTTTAGCCAGTAGACATTCATTTTAGTAGTTGGTGTCTACAAGTGTTTGATATAAACCTCCAGGATTATGATAGATTATTTCAAATTTAGTCCTGAAAGCTTTTAGTTCAAACATAAGCATGTAAATTGGCTTTCAGTTAATGTATTCATAAAGAGTATGTGGTCACTTGCAGGCAATCAAGCAGCGCACAATACTTAGCCCTTTTCAACAACAGTTAAGATGGTACCCACTTACTCTGTAAAACAGGGCACCCAGTGGCTAACTCAGTAATAGCTACTTCTCTGGCGCCCACTAAGATCCAGTAAAAAAAAGTATCACTGTAACTGGGCACAGCCAAGAGGGGGGACCCCAGAAAAGGATTTGGGATGGGGTCCAGAGCTCAGGGTGTCCAGGAAATATTAATATATGTCCATACTCCAACCCCCCACCCTTGCCCGCAGTTGGGGAAGGGACAAATGGAGCAGGGCCATTGAATTGAGAGCTGTTTTGCTAGCAATAGTTTCGCAGCTAACCTCTGGAATGGTCATTTAACATATCTATAACCTTTAACTGGTTTCATACATATGTTAAATAGCTGTGGCTACGCTTGGAGCCAGGGGGATGAAGTCACTCCCCCCCCAAAATATAACTGGGGGGCAGGTCCCCCGAGTTACGGTGCTCTTGTGGGAGCTTGGAGAAGATTGACTCTAGGACATGGGGCCATACCTGCCCAAACTAACGATGGCAGCCCAGTAAACTTGTAACAATACAGAAATATTAGTAGGTGTAACTGATCGTGGGAGGAGTCAAAAATAGGGGTATAGAGGAAGATTGGTGTAGGGATTTAAACCCAGACACAGCAGCCATTGGGGAGAGAGCCATATGGTTTGGGGCAGAGTTAGGCCCTCCCTCTTGCCCAGGTGAAAGAGAACCTCACCCTTTGCCAGAATGCGGACCTCTGTAGCCAGGTGAAGAAGAAAGCCACATGCTTTTGGCAGAGTGCAGACCCCTGCAGCTTTGGTAGAAGAGGCCCACACAGCCTAGAGGTGCTCCCTTTGGCCGAGTAGCCTGGGAAGCACGAGAGACTTTGCCTGGGAAAATGGGTACAAAGAACTCTTGCCAGTGGACCGTGATAAGGTGCCACATGGCTTTGGAGTAATTAGAGATCCTGCCTGGACAGCAACACAGCTGATGGTGCCAGCAGTCGAAAACATGGACATGTGCTTCTTTTCCTAATTTACAGTACCTGGAGTTAGGACAGGAGGAGAAGGGAGCACTGTGGGCATCTGTGGTTATCCTAAAGGACTTTGGCATTAATGGGGACATTGGGTCACTACTTTGTCTGTATAGCTTTAAATAAACATTTCGTCTCCTTTTCATACATCTCTGGCATTGAGAGATGTCTTTCCAATTGGTGGCAGCCAATCGGGCCCAGTAGGGGGTACAAACAGTATTGGTATACCATCCTCTGGAGTCTGCCCGATGTATCTGTTCTGTAACCTTTTTTTGTTGTTTTTATTTTTATTTTTATTTTTTGGCATCCCTCGGTGGGCCAAATATTGCCCCCCTTGGACCTCTGTTCAGCAACATCAGTAACCTTTTCCATGACTTGGTAAGCAAAGCTGGTTTTCTCATGGGCTGTGGAATACCACCAGCAGCCTCCCTCTTCCTTCCTCAGCAAGGTTTGGGAAGGCAGGAGATAGTGTTAAACCTTTTGTGCATTTGTACCCTTACCTTGTGAGTCCATGCACAGCACTTTAGGAACCCACTGGTTTAGAGGAAAAAGAAGTAACTTCTAGCTCTACTCCTGAACCCATAAATCGAGTCCTTAAGTTTGTTTGTTTGTTTTTATTAAAACTTTATGCTTAAAGGTTTAAGTGATAGAAAATTTGGGATTTAGGAGTTCAATTTTAAATTTTAAAAACTTTCTATATGGTCCAGCTAAGATTAGAATGGATAACTGAGTCACATCGTTTTTATGTGTGTATTTGTGAACGCCCACCAGATCTTCTTAAGTCTTTGTCATTGGCAGGCAATTATTATTTTACTCTGATGCTTTTATAAAATAGTTTCTACCAAGATGTTTCATCTTCAGGGAAATTTATGGAGAGGACTCTGACACTAACTCTAAAATATAGGGTACTAATAAACTTTCAGGTCATACCATTAAACTGGGTGAAGATTTACAGAATTCTAAAAAAACAGGATTCATAAAATTGCTGACAAAAAGATCAAGATCAACAAAAATTAATCATGTAGGACTGAATGAAGTAGTGAAGATGATTATAATTTTATGACATATTTGGAATTTTTTTAATCTTTGTTTTCCAAATATAAGGCTTTTCCCCCATAAACATAGCAATTTGGTAAATTATATCCTTTTAGGCAGAATTGAAACATTTACTTTCCTTCTGAAATTTAGGAGTTTGGGGTATAATCTACACTTTCATTTCCCCCTTTACTTTTAGTGCCTTCCTATTTCACTTTTAATGCGAGAGGCCAAACACTCACTATAGCAGCTATAGTGTTCTTTTTTCCCTAAATTTCTGCCCAGAAAGATAACTCAACATTGGGTGCCATCTTTAAACCTACTTCATAGGTCAAAATGTGCAACTGGTTGCCCACATGGTCAAGGATGTTCCATGTCTAGCGACGCCAACCCCAGGCAAGTTACCAGATTTGGAAAAATATTTTTTTCTTAAACAGGTATTGCAATGAATAAATACATGATTAAAAACTTATCAAAAACCTAAGAGAAAATTGCTGGAGCTACCGACAAAGCAATAAAACCAGGAAGAACCTTCAAATTCCCTTGTGTAAGTTATATTAGACAATAAGATTGCTCTTGACCACATCCTAGCTAAACAAGGTGAGTTTTGCTGTTTTGTTAATACTTCTTGTACTTGAATATAACTCTTCTGATAAAATGGAGGTGGAACTAGATAAAATCTGGGCACAAGTCAAATGATTAAATACAGTGCCCACTGACATCTCATGGTTCTCTAATATCTTTGACTGATTGCCCTCAGATATTACCTCCTGGCTCAGATCTATTATTCAAATTGGACTTGACATTTGATTTGTTATTATAGAAATTTTTACTGTTATAAAACTTTATTTTACATAGCTCAGTGTTATAGAGATACCACTCTGATAATTGTTGCTCAATATTTTGAGATGATCACCAAGGCTTATATGACTTCATATGAAAAACCTCAAGAAAATACAAAAAATGTTTGCCTTTAAATCAGAGGTGTCAAACCCATTTTCACCGGGGCCACATCAGCCTGTGGTTGCCTTCAAAGGTCCAAATGTAATTTCAACTCCTTAGCAGTTAAGAAGTAGTAACATTTACTAAAATTATTTTGGCCCTTTGAAGGCAGCCTCGAGGCTGATGTGGCTGGCCTCTAGTGAAAATGAGTTTGACACCCTCGCAAAGGCTTCCTCTGTTCTGGTGCTCTTATTGCTCAAGTGTGACCTAAGGCATCTAAAAAACCACTTTTGCTTCTAGGTGGAACAGATGTACCAGGAATGAGCCTTCCGGTTGACGAGGGATTAGCAATGGCTTGACATACCAAAAGTGAGCCTTCCTGAGAATGGAGAACTAGTGATGCTTTTAGTAAATGACTGGTGTTACTTTCCAGTGATTGATCAATGATGCATTCAAGGAAAGATATCGAAAGAGGGAAATAGAAAACATAATATAAAGGAAGCCACTTTAAAATGGAGCCAGAGTTGCCATCCAGAGGAACAGCATGTCTTACTCCTCAAACCTTTGGAATGTAAAACTGGGCAAAATAACCTTTGGACTGAGCCGAAAGCAGCATTCTATCCCCAAACACAGTTTGTAAAGATAAGAAAGCAGATACTACGACTACTGGACTGAAATTCAAAACATTCTTTGGAATGACAATACGTTGTTAGCTTATCTTCAGCTATAAAAATTCTTTCCTTCTATTGACTTAATGGTTCCTCTTTCTTTTCTCATAAATAATCCTTGCCTTCACCTCCTAACTGGGACACTGTTTGGGGCTCTGCCTGAATCAGTGCTTCCAAAATAGTTATTCTTTTGAATCTCAAATAAATGCTTGTTGCCTTTCACTTTGGTCTTTTTATTTCTAGGTTAATACATTATATATCATTTCAGTGCAATTCCAAGGACCTATATATGTTGTTAAGTGAAAATTTACTGCATTTTTTGTTCACTGTAGGAATATGGCTAATCTTTCTATTTGTATCAATTTCCATATAGATTTTTGAACAATTAACTATTTGAAAATGCTTAAGCTTTGCTGATTAATCTCACTACAAAATCTATTTTTATGGTTCTAATGTATAAACTGAAAAGAACAGAAGGGTCTCCCCATGAAGGTAAACAAACAATGCAAAATGTTGACTCTTGAACTGATGGCATATTAAAAAATTAACTTTCTCTTCTTGCTGCCTCTTAATCTATTTTCTCATGGCTCAGGAAAATATATTATTTATTTACAAGCACAGTCTCTGATCGCATGATTACTCCATTGTCCAATTTTAATAAGAAAGTTCTTAAATCTCAATTCTAGGCATATTTTACAATACCAAATTTGTCACATAAAAATTCTATGAAATTCGATGTAAATACTATAGAAATCAAAGGACATGAATAGCACAGCCCAATATGGAAGTTGCTGTGTAGAAATAATAGGAGAGAAGGTTACCAGTGAAGCCTGAAGCAGAGCTTCCTCTGGAATTCCAGGGTCTGCACCGTGGATCTTGCCATTCCTAAGATTCTAGCATATACCTGATGACATTAACAGATAGGCTTTGCCCTTAACTTTCTGAGGAAACCAACCTGATTTTTCCATGGTTAGGACAGAAACATTAAGAGATAAAAGACTGTTACTCTCCTGTTTTGTTTTGTTTTTAAGCTGACTATGATGGGCATTCCTGTCCCACCACCTCTGGTAATAAATTGATAATACCAGGACTCTCACAGATCTGCGTTATACTTGTCTGTATATTTTGAATTCTACTATACTAATGGTGTTGTTTCTCAAGTATTTTTCATTGTCCTCTGGTGCACTGATCTAGCTACCTACTCTCCAATTAAATGCACTCATCACTTAAGAAGCCTACTCTACACCAAGTATATTTCATCTTGAATATCAAAATTCAGGATCTAAACTGACTTTATCAGAGTCCTGCTTCTTAAAAAGAAAAAAAAACACACAATAAATTGGCTTTACTAAGTTTTACCACCACTCTCCCTTTTATCGGGTTAAATACTTAGAATCATCTTTGTACTTCAGTTTTCTCCTTGTTCTTCTTTAATCTCTTTATCTAATCAGTAAGCAACTGACATTTTTAAGTGTTCATTTTTTTACCCTATATTTTCACCTTATTTTAGCTGTAACTTATTTTCTATATGCCTTGCTGTAATTTCTTCTTTCCTCCTTTTGATTCTAGGCTCTTTCCTCAATGTTGTCAATCCATTTTTTCACACTTCTTCCAAATTAATCTTTCGTTAAAAAAAAACCTTTCATATTCAAAATCCCATTTAAGCTCCTTGGAATTTATTCAAAGGAGTTGAAAACATGTCTACACAGAAACACACAGATGTTTATAGCAGCTTTATTCATAGTTGATTAAGCTTGGAAGCAACTAAGATATCTTCAGTACATGAGCAGATACATAAACTGCGGTGCCCAGATAATTTATTATTCAGCACTAAAACGCAAGAGCTAGCAAGCCATGAGAAGACATGGAGAACCTTAAATGCATGTACTAAACAAACAATCTTAATAGGCTATGTACTGTGTGATTCCAAATAATCTGACATTCTAGAAAAGGTGAAATTATGAAAACAGTAAAAAAATCAGAGGTTACCAGGAGTTGGAGTGGGGGTTATGAATAGACTGAGTAAAGAGGATTTTTAGAGCAGTGAATACACATCATAATACATTTGTCCAAACCCATAGACTATACACCGCCACGCATGGACCATAAAGTAAACTGTGGACTTTGAGTGATTATGATGCATCAATGTAGCTTCGATTTTAACAGATGTACCATCTGGTGGCAGATGTTGATAAAGGGGGAAGACTGAATGTGTGGGGGCAGAGGATATATGGAAAATCTCCATACCTTCCTCTCAATTTTGCTGTGCCCTTAAAACTGCTTTAAAATCTTTTAAAATAACAAATAACCATTAAACATTTTAAAAAACCTATTAAAAATGTTCAGTGGTTCTTTAAAATCTTAGACGTGAAGGATAAAGTCTTACACCCTGAAGTTCTCTATGCTACTTTCCGGTCCTCCACCATGGGCCTCACTTTATTCCTACTCTTGTCACCCATGTCTGCCATGCTCACTCCCAGCTGCGTGTGGCCTCATTCACTGAGTACTTTCTATGTGCCAAGTATATGCAATACATGTATTCCTTCACTTAGCCTTCAAAATGACCATATAAAGTAAGCATCATTTTTGTAATTTCACTGATGAGAATTAGAAAGGTGAAATAACTTGCCAAAATCACATAGTTTAGAAAATGGTGTAACCTGGCTCTTGTGGCTCAGTGGATTGAGCACGGAACCAAAGCATCACTGGTTTGATTCCCAGTCAAGGCACATGCCTGGGTTGCAGGCCAGTTCACTGGTGAGGGACCCCCTCAAGAGGCAACCACGCATTAATGTTTTTTCCCCTGTTTTCTCCCTCTCTTCAGCTCTCTCTAAAAGTAAATAAAATCTTTTTTAAAAAGGGGGAAAATGGTGGAGTCAGGATTCAAACTCAGATCTTTTGACTTCAGAGGTGTGTTCTGAAATATTTTGTGTATCTTCTTCATTTTATGAATAAGATCATCCTCTTGAGGGTTCTCAGAGGTAAAAAAAACAAAAACACTCCTGTGCCAGAAAATGTTTATCACAAAATGATCACCTTAAAAATATGTATTGAGTAAATTTAAACATTTTCAATTTCAGGGAAGAGCCAGAGGAAAGCTCATGTAACAAAAAAATGTGGCAAAATTAGATGAAATGTAGTGGAAATGGATGTTTTCTGGGGGTGGTTGTGGAGACAGCTTCTCATAAAAGGTGAGGCTTGATGTTAGCCCTAAGGAAGGGCAGGGCTTCCAGGACATTCCAGGAATGGGAAAGGGGATAAGAAAGAACATAAAAGATATGGAGCAGAACTGTTTGGCCAGAGTAAGACCTTGGAGAGGTGAAGTGGGAGATTAGGTTAAAAAAATCAGCAAGACAGGAAGAATTTTAGACTTGGAAGCCCTGGCTGGGTATCTCAGTTGGTTCGAGTGTTGTCCAGGTGCGACACTGTTGCCGGTTGATCTCTGTTCAGAGCACAAAGCAGCAGCCAAGGAATGCATCGATAGGTGGAACACACTGATGCCCTACCCCCAGAACGATAAATTTTAAAAAACTTTAAAAAGTCTTGGATAATCAGAAAGGTGCCTACTCGGCCCCCAGACCCATTTCCCAGGCTCTTTAACCCTCCCTAGCCCAGCTGAGCTTCACCTACAGAGAGTGGAGAAGCCAAAAGACCCGCGCTCCGCCGCGCCCAGTCGGCCTCCCGCAGTCCCCGCTCCCCTGCCGGCGCCACCGGGCGCCCCGCCCCGGGCGGGAAGGCCAGTGGGAGGGGAGGGCCTGCCAGGTGAGGCGCGGTCACCCGGGGCCTCTCACTTCCGCCCAGGTGAGGGAGGGCCGACTCCGAGCCCTCGCGCCGGTCCGCCAGCTCTGGATCCCACGCTCATCTCTGCTGGACCAGGTAAAGCGGGGGTCCCGGCTGCGTGGGCGCGCGCTGCGAGCGGGGCCCCTGCGCCTCGAGGCCGGCGGGGGACAGCTCCCCGGAGCCAGCGCCCGGCGCGATCTCCGCCCGTCCTCCGGGAGAAGGTGGCACTGGAGACAAGGGCGCCGCCGGGCGCTCGGCTCGGCCTGCGGAGGGTGCGGGGCGCTCCTCCCGCGCCGACCCGGGTGACCCCATCATGGCCCCCGCCCCTCGGGGTAGGGCTTGCGGGAGGCTGCTCGCCGCGGACCCGCCCTGCGTCGGCTGTGGCCCTGGCGGCCGGCAAATCTCGGCCCACTTCTTTTCCAGGAGTTGCAGGGATCAAATTTTGCTCCCAAGTCAGTGCCTGTGCTTCGCCCCTAGAGCTGGGCGGAGCCTTTGCTCCACGAGTGACGGTGAAAGTGAACAGGTGGTGGCCTGCCTCGGGGGACTGGAGGAGGGTGGGTTCACACCCCAGCTAGGGGGCGACTTGGCCCCGGCCCGATCTGGACGCCTAGTCGTCACGTAGCCGGGTTCCCAGGCCGGCAGTCAGGCCTGGCCTCTGCTAGCCTTATTTATAGGTGGTGAGGACCCGGCGGAAAGTGCTTTTTTGGCCTCCCGTCTTCGGTGAGATTGCTGGATTCCTGCTTTAGGTGAACCTAAGTAAAGCATTTTCGGATCCTTCCCTGCCCGCTCCAAAGCTCCCTAGTTGTCCTGGCACACCTACCAGGTCGATTAACCTCCCTCTGGAGTGTTCACTTGTCACTTTGTCCTGTCTCCAGGTGGTCACTTTGGATTGGAATTAGTTGTTTACTCGTTTGTCTCCCCGATTGAAGGGGTGCACCTTTGAAGGCCTTATTTCAGTAGGGTGCTTCTCAGCTGCATTTGGAGTCTGACCATTAATAGGTGTGCAGCCAACAAGTGTTTCTTTTATGAAGAAGGCTTCTGGAGAGCTAGAGGTAAAAAAAAAAAATCAGTTAATCGCGAGGATGGTAAATAGCACATTCTAGGCTGAGCTATTCGCTGCCAATTCATTTGCACATTAAAAAAAAAAAGAAATCAAGGGGAGAGTTGGCTAAAAGCTCAAGTAAATTCACTTTGCAGCATCAGAAAAAGGTGAGATCGTGACTTTTAGCTAAAATGAGCCTCCTGTTTCTAGGCCCTAATGGCCTTTATAAAGATTATCAGAAAGTTAAAATATTTAGAAAGTTAATATCGGAGCTGGAAGGTACTTTATGGGTAGAATTTGTAAACTGAGTTCTGAAGGAGTTCGCCCTTGTAAACTGAGATCCTGTAAAGATAAGATAAGCTGCCATCAGAACAACTGCACTGTTCACAGTTGAGACTGTTTTAAGCTCTCGTGTTTAAAGATGTCTTAATCAGTT